CCACAAACAGGACTTTAATATCACCAACCATTCCCATTTTATTACGGTGTATCCATATAAATGGCCCACCCTGTACTAAAGGGGTTATTGATAACTTTTTCACACTCCACCTTCTCTACATCAACCATATTCACCAAGACGAAACTCACCTGTTACAATGATAAATCACCGAAGCTCATCAGCTGCTGGTCTCCACTCAGTTTGCCATCACAGACCAGAGGTTTATCCACAGCACACATGCCATCAGAAACAACTGCTGGTCTCTGTGAGAGTTTTTAATATCACAATGGGGATTGTCTTATCTAGATAACTATAGCAACTAATTTTGAACACATAACCTGTTCTATATCAGACCAGCCTCATTTTCACAAATTCTTTTTCGAGTGACACATGAAGTGCAATATAGATTATCGTTGATGTAATCATTTTTATACCTGCAGCCTGTTAGAAAATATGGTATATCAATTGAGGGAAGCCAAGTCTGGTTTACACTCCTGGTGAGTAAGATAGATTACAAGATTACGTTATTTATCACAAATAAAACAGATAAATGTCTCAGCAGGTAGAGCATCTATTAATCAGAATGGTTCAATCACTGGTTGCTTCAGTCTCTTAAAAGAAGCTGTACCATTAATTAATGCTTAGATTGATCATAATTTAAGATTTATCTCTTTTAATGGACTATGTACCAGTGGTCTTTAAGGTGACAGTAATTACTACTTTTACCTTATAAACCCATCACTTGACCCTGCACATCAGGTTAAGTTGTAGGTTACAGATAAAGCTTTGGCACAAATTTTCAGCTGAAGCATAAAGGATTGAAATGAGCTGTAATACTCCATGAAGCACATCAAAGTCCTCTCACACTGTTCCTCTTCGGATCTTAATCAGTTCACTGTACTCAACCACTTCATGGTTCAAACACTTAACATTCCACATAATGATCAGTGGAACAACTCCAGCTTTAACACTCTGTTTTCTCCATAGCTCCTCTGGAACTAATAGCATCAGCTGGTGAAGATTTTCCACTGCCAAGAGTATGGAAATGCAAAGATAAAACACTCTGCACTAAAATTGGACACATTTCCTAATAAAATTAATTTTAGCTCATAACTGTGACCTAAAGACCTAG